GCGACCGAGCGACTTTGTGTGATTAAGATGAAGCGCTGCAGCGCTGCGGTGGGCGGTTACCTTAATCAATTGAATGAGCCAATAGGGAATATTCATGTTTTTCTTTTTTGTCTTAAATTAATAGTTTACTATTTTATAACGTAGAAAAAAATATTAATGGGTTTCAAAATACTCTAGATATTTTTAAAAATGAAATTTAAAACTTTTAAAAAATTTAAGCAGTTCAAACGCCGCCATTTTGCGCGCGCTTTGCGTGACGTCACATGACACGTCCAGTGGGTGTTTACCTTAGTTTTTACTATGGACTTTTCAGTTACTTCGTAATATTTACAGTTTTAATAACTTTAAAACCATGGAAGAAGTCAAAAAATTATCTTATAAGTATTGTATAGTACCGAAGTGCACAAATACTACTCGAAAAACACCCGACAAAGTGTTTTTTCGTATTTCAAGTGATGCGAAAATACGAAAACAGTGGTGTAAGGTGATGAGAAGGGATAATATATCTCCTAAATCGTGTTTATATTGTTGTGAAGATCATTTTAACGTAAGTGTACTTTATTTATATACTATATAATATATAGCTTATTGTGAATTAGTAAAAAGTAAGTTTTGCATTAGTTATTGAACATTAGAAGTTTAAAATTAACCTAACCTATAAGAAAAGTTCAGTACTCAGTTATAAAAACTAACTTTCTATAAAAACTATTCTTGTTGTGCTTTTACGAAATTTTAATGGTTATTGTTTTATTCCAGGTTAAGGAAGATACAGAAAATTATATTGAATACAATTTAATGAAAGAGCAAGGAGAAAAATGTACTCTACGGTTGAAGAAAGGAGTTTTGCCACATATATTTTTGTGTCAAAAACGGAGGATGCCATTACCAAAGGAGAGAATGGCTGTAGTTAAAATGCAAAGATTGACACTGGTCAATGAAGCCCTTTCATCAGAGATAGCTATCAAAAGTAGTGTTAGCGAACCTTCACAAAGAAGTGATCACGAAGTGAGTCCAAGTACTTCCCACACAAATGTCTGTGATCAACCAGGATGCAGTACTTCCCGTATTGGATGTGATGATCTTCAGGTAGAGCTTTCCACTTCTCATATTGAGAAGACATTGCATTGTGACAAAGCTGTGCAAGTTAATATTAAACCGAACTATAGAAGTAAAGGTGTCAATGTAAATATACCTACTAAAAAACAAAATGTAGCACTGTCACCATTTCCTTTTGTAACACAAAATATAGGAACTTCACCAGTAAAACTATCTGTTTTAAAAAGAAAATTGTTTACTGAAAACACAGCGGATACTATTTCTATATCATCTTATTTTTCTACGAGCTCTACTGATTATGAACCAAGTTATCAATCTGAGTCGAGCGAAGTTCTAAGTGATTCAGAGAAGGAGAAACAGTTTAAATATGAAATGTGTAGTATCATGCTAACTGCTATTGAAAAAGAGCCAAAAATGTTGTTAGGATTACCTAAACAATCATATCATTTAATAAAACTTTTAAGTGATAATATTCCGCTTCCTAGTAAACACATATTAATAACCCTCAAGAAAATTAAATTAAATGAGTCCTTTAGCATCTTGGCACTACAATTTGGATGTTCACAAAGTACTATTTGTAGAATATTTTCTAGAAGTATTTCTCTTATAGCAGCAAAACTTAAGGACTTGATTGTGTGGCCAGCATCATCAGATATTTACAATAATTTACCCATATCTTTTAGGCGTAGGTATGGGAATGTTGTTTCCATTATTGATTGCCTAGAAATTCAGATTGAAAAACCATCAAATGCCGTTCATCAATCACTTACTTGGTCACAGTATAAAAAATGTAACACCTTAAAGTATTTAATTTCATGTACACCTGATGGCTTGATCAATTTTATCTCTGATGGATATGGTGGTAGGGCTACTGATGTTATGATAGTACAAGATAGTAGTTACTTACAGGCTTTACCTCCTAATAAAGCAGTGATGGCTGACAGAGGTTTTAAAGACTTATCATGTTTGCTAGAAGCTAAAAGATGTACCCTTATACGACCACCTTCTGTATCAAAGTCTACCCCCAGTACTAAAAATGAAGTGAAACTATCAAAACGTATAGCAGCATTAAGAATACATGTTGAACGGGTAATAAATAGGTTAAGAGAGTTTCATATGTTACTGCCTCATGCTTGTGTAGACTATAATTTAATTCCTATCATAGATGATGTAATAATAGTAGCTTGTGGATTGGTAAATATGCAGGATGTTTTAATAAAAAAATGAATATAATATATTTACATTTGTTTTATTTTCATAGCATAAAAAAACAGATTAACAGAATTAGACAGAAATCAAATGCAGTACCCCTACAATAAACAAAAAAAATCTATCTAGTCATACATATTTAGTTTAGGAAAGATGGCTTTATTCCAAAAAATGTCGCATTTTTCTAACAAATTTTCACACAGTTGCTGGTCGTAGTTGACTTCTAAGATTGATATTTTTTTTGTTTTTTCAAAATCTTTATCAGCAACACAAAACAGTGCCTTTGCTTTATTAGAAAAATGCATCTGCAGTTGCACTTGTGCCATATATTTGGCAGTCACTTTATTTCCTGAACTGACATATCGTCCCATTGCTTTTTCTGATGTTGGGCATTTTATTTCTATACTATACACACTATTTTCACCATCTGGAGAAGCACCCATAATAGGATGTGTACTATTTAACTTTAATCCACATTTACTTATTTTTATTTTACAAATTTTTTCTACTTCCTTTAAAACCTGACTTTCCAACAATCTACCCCTTTCCATAGCCTCTGTGTCCCTCAATTTACTTGCTCCCAAAATGGTCTCCGTTAACGTTCCATCAAGAGTATTGCAATGTGCAGCATCATAAGCTTTTGAAGCTGTGATCCTTCCATACCTCAACTCATGCCACAATGGGCAGTCATTTTGTTCCAAAGTAGCTATTGCAGCTCCTTTGCATGCATCTGCAGTCATTATAAGTTTGCAATATTCTATAAAATCAAGAGGGTTTGTAGCTTTGCTTGTAGACAGAAGATGGTGTATTGACAATTTTTCCACAGTGCTTGGCGCTCTATAAAACTTCATCAAATGATTCTTTGTATCACCAACCAAAGTGCAATTATTTTTTACTACTGTGAGAAAGCTTTCAGTATTCAAAGATGTTGGCACAAGCTCATGTTTAGGTGTTTTATACATTTCTTTGGCTTTTATAAACTTCTTACTAGTACCAATTGATGATAATTTAGATTTTTTCCAATAACACTCAATGCTTGTTGTTGATGGATCTTCACTACGCCGATGTAGCCATGCTAAAAAAGCTATAGCATGCTTACATCCACCTAAAACAAAAGAAATGAGAAAACAAAAAAGTTATAGAAAAAATCAAGTTCCTAAGTGCAGGTCACTGAACCTAAACAAGTAAAAAATAATTACCTAAATGTGCAGCACAATCTTCACATTGAACAGAGAGAATAGTTTCTTCTGTTTCATTGCAAGTGCAAATAACAGCATAACATTTTTGTCGCACATTATGTTCAGGTGTAATCCGAGCCTTAACAACACATATGTCGCCATCTCGTTTTACTTGGACATATCCAACTGCTGAATCACCATAAGATTCTCGTGTAGACCTGAAATAGACAAGTACTTATAAACACTCAAACAAAACAGTCCACGTAAAGCAGGGTATCAATTTATAAACATTAAATCATTATATATTTATCTCAGATACACACAAAGTCAAAGTTATTATACTAGGGTGAACTTCAATAATAAAAAATTTATTTATAGACGTAAAATAAGAGTTTCAGAGTAATTTTAATGACAACTGGATATGTATAGGTTATGTTTTGGTGAACCTAATATATGTAAACTGCTGTGTGCATTTATGAATAAAAATCTATATTATGGTCTAAAATGTATTATGAAACATAATAATTACCTTGCAGCTTTCACTCCTCTGATCTCTGCGCTCGTAAAATCGGGATTTGATGCAAAATATGCTGTCATCATGAAAGCATCTATTTTCGGTAGATTGTCCGATTGTGCTTTGACAAAACCAGCTTCAGTCATCGTCCTAGATTCACTACAAATCTTAACTAAACTTCACTACAATCAGCACAAGAATACAGGTTTAAATTATTTATTTTTTTCACAAAAACTTGTAAAACAGTATGAGTTTCGACGCTGATGAATACAATGTCGTGTCAGATGACGTCACATTTCGTTCGACCAATGGTGGCGCGTTTTGGAAGTTTGAATTTCGCTCCCTTATTTTGCACTTTTTGAATATTTTTTTAGGGGTTTAAATAATAAGTAAATAAAAAAAAATCCTTTTCATTATAATATTACGATAATAAGTATTCGAGAAAAAAATATTTTAGGCCATTTCAAATTTTATGCATATTCCCTATTGACGCGTTTAGTAATTTGCTTGGAATATAAAAAAGTAAAAGTAATGTCTATAGTGTTGGCCATGAGATTGGTTCTCTATATAAAGTACCTATAATGTTTAGTGCTACAGGATGTGTGCACGCATATAATTAATATTACTTAGGTAATTGTTTATTCAAATGTAATGTAACATCGGATAATTAATTTTTAATCTAATCGATACATCGAAACAACTGCATTAGGTAGGTATGAATAGCTGAATAAATAAATAAATAAAACGTGAATGTTTTTTTTATAGATATCAGTATCTACCTAATTTTTATAAATCGGATTTAGATCGTCCTTTACCCCACTTACTTGGGTACCTAAATATCTTTATGCAGTTATGCAGTATTATTTACGGTGATAGTATCGAGCTGGGATCGAACCGAGGACATCTACGGTGATAGTATCGAGCTGGGACCGAACCGAGGACATCTAGTTCAGCAGCCGTAGGACCAGATCATTTGAGCAGTGATCCGTGTTAATGTTTGTTCATTCATATTGGTGTATTGTAGAGAATGCATGAGTGAAGAGATGATTGGGGTCGAGGGGAGGCTGGGCACATCTGAACCACTCCGAACGTAGGTAATATTTCCGGGTGTGCCGTCGACAAAGGATCCCCTTTCCATTGAATCAAAAACGTAATCGTAAAAGAGCTTTTAAAGACTCGATTTGTTTCTAAGAACGGCTTTTGATTTCAATCTCGTTATTTTGTTTTTCATAAATAAATGTGGTTGAAGCGGGCGGAGGGCGGAGGGCGGAGGGCGAGGGCTTCCTATTCTCAGATACTCTAATCTGGTGATTGAGGATGTTGTCTACTTAAGTAGGTAGATACCTGCTTACCTATAGATACTTTTTAATAGTAGGTACAGATATGTTTTATAAATAGTAGAAGGTAGTAATATCAGTAGTCGTCCCTTGATAGCGACTTCCCCACCCATTAGGATATTTATTCGTCGTTTAATGTTAACAAGAACATAGGTAGGTACCTAGTACAAGCATTTTCCATACAATTGCCTCATACGAAAATCCTTTGTTCAGCTGGTCAAACAAACGCTGTAAAAAGAAAAAAACAAGAACATATTAGAAGAGCAAAATATTGCGGGCGTTGAGTGCAGCGGCTGGCTGCGTGCTCTCGGCGCTGTGGAAACGTCGTGGCTCAGCACAACAGTTGACTCGGGGCAGACGTACACACACAGCGCCACACAATGCCGGGGAGGGGGCGCTGTGACGATGCAGTTTGCACCGCGGCCTCCTCCAACCTTCACCAACTTGCGCCCGTGTTCTTGGGAATCGTTTTAAATTCAAGAACCGCAGAACACTACAAACACGACAATGCACCCTATCCCTCTCAAAATACGACCCAAAATCATAACAACACATTTTTATAAGTCGTTTCGAACATGGAATACGTCTTCACCACAACACCAGATTTAAAACTCTAGCCACAAGGAACAAAGTTCAGAATCGAATAAATAATGTAAAAATGGCAGCTGTCCTTGGTGTGAGTGCGGAGGTGAGAAATACATTAGCGGTACCGTTTTCTATTGGTCGTTGCTCCTGTGTTGATATTAAGCAGTCCACGTGGACTGCTCGGTGGTCGCTTGTCTCGTTTTTTTCAGCGGGTAGGTCGCTATCCGTCCCGTTCTAATCTACAGCGAAACGTGGAATGTCATGTCCGGAGTTGTTCAGAAAGTCGTGAGCGTGCATCGTGCTTCCAACTTTACCCTTGTTCCGAAACAGAGTAAGTGCGCCCGATTGACTTTTGATATTGACTTGTATGACACGCAGTTAAAGTTTAATTTAGCTGAACGTGTGCGGTGATCAAAAGTTTTTGTTGATACGTCATATTGATAAGCATTTTTAAGTCAATTAAGGTTGTAAGCTAAAAGCGGTTGTTGCTACATTTAAATTATCGGCCGGCATTCAAATAACGCCATTTTTTTCGTGTCGGCACGAATTTATTTAATAGTTAGATATATGTTATGTAGGGTATAATAACGTAGCGTGGGCGATGCCGGGGTACTTACCTAACGTGTCGAAGTAGATACCAGCGGAGGTATTCATTCAGTTAGTCACGGGTATCGATTTAATAATGAACAATATTGATAAGTTTTATTGAATACCGTCGTTCATTTGCTAGATACGGATATTTGTATGATGATGATGCGTTCGACATTACATGCCTGCCTACCCAACCCTAAGTTGTTATTATCTAAAGATACCTAATGGATTCATGTAATGCTAGCCACAAATTGCAACACTTTGTTACTTACTAAGATGTACCTAGGTATTTAGGTAACCTAAGCATGAACATTTTGTGCATACTTACAGAAAAGTTATAAACAACCATCCTACCTACATCGATATTTTGTCAGAATGGTGGGTACTTACATTTAATTAGTACCTACCTAATAAGGTATATTAATTTAGTACTTATATTTTACACTAGCTACTGTCGCGCGGTTTCACCCGCTGCTCGACTCCATATTTTAATCGTAGCCAGCACTCAGGAACATTGTAGCTAGCATCTACCAGTGAAAGAATTTTCGAAATCCGACCAGCCGTTTCAAAGATTACCCCATACATACAAACTTAAAAATTTTACCTCTTCATAATATTATTATTTTACATTATAGTAGGTAACTTTGTACCTAACTACTTCCCTGTAATATCACCTACAGTAGGTACCTATACCTAAGCACCCAACTTGTTGTTCCAAGTTGGATAATGTTTAAATTCGCAATGTATTTAATTAATCTCACTATAGTGAAGATTTCCTTCCTTGTGCAGCTTTATCGTCATTACTAATAATAGGTAGGTACTCATAATAAACTATTGTAAATTATTATTATTAAATATATTTAAAATCGAATAGGTACATACTGTCAATTGGAAATTACAATGATGTTGTGGTATAAATATTAGTTTCACTCATGGTTATTACATTAGGTATTCATACGTAATTTTTAATGTACTTAGGTACATTAAAATTTCTACATAAAATCTATTTCTACATAATGAACTAGTAACCAAAGTTGTAAATCGAAAATGTTCAAACGTTTTCGTAATGTGCTGCCATCTCGTGATACCATTTGACAACTTGTTACGAGTTGTTGTGAATGTTTCCTGCCAGCTGTCTTACATGTTTTTAAGTTTATACGTGTTCTAAACTTGTTTTGTAGCTCTGATAAGACAATTTAACATTATATTACTTAAAATGGCATTCGAAAACTATTTCAAAAATAATTCAAGTATAAAACTCACAAAATGTGTAGAGGGAAAGAGAGTTGTGTAGCGCTCTCTAGCGATAAGAATGGAAAGCTAGTAGTCGAAATACAAATTGGAAATTTTTGAATTGGACATCGGTATTTATACGTGTTATATATATACATTATAGTTGCCTACTACAAAATAAACTAATTATTTTAAAATTAACCCAGTTGAATTTATTGTAATTTTGTAGCAACAATATTAACGAACGAAGTTGACGTTGGCGGCTGCTCGATTGACAGTTGACATATTTTTTAGAATGTCGAACCGCAAAAGTCAAAATCAGTCACTTTGTACTTGACAGTTGACTCCTTGACACTTTGTCAGTCTGTTTTATTTATTTGTGGATTAGTCGTATGTAAGTTTCAATTTATATTTCATTCAAAAGAAAATAATTTATCGGGTCGCGACTTTAAAATAATATTAAACTAATGTTTAAATTAAAAACCAGTTTTTCAGTTTCTTTTTGCTAAGTTGACATGTATTTTATAATATATCCACTCGTGAACTTAAATAGCTTTAGAATTTAAATAATTTATCTTAATGAATTTATGAATACATAATATAATGAATGATATAATTAATTCATTTCGTTTCAGATGGTACACAGTGATGCCGCAAATAATTTTGTTGTTTAGTGGAAAGAGAAAATCAGGAAAAGATTTCCTTACCACACATTTACAGAACTTGTAAGTGAAAGTCAACAAACTTTATACTATTTCATTAGAAGAGAAACGTACATAATACATGGCCTTATGAACAACACGATTAAGTTCACAAATTTATCCTACTTTTTTCATGTGAAAAAAATGAAATTTTTACTCAATACATTCTTACAGTTACCCTAGAAATAAAATAAGTTAAATGTAGCTGTAGACAACCACAAGACTCTGTTTGATTTGCAATAGTAACAGTTGTTAACAAACCATAACCAATTCTATATAAAATAATGTCAACAGTTAATATATTCTTTTCTTAAAATTTCCAGGCTCGCAGACAAATGTGAAGTTTTAAAAATATCTCACCCGATAAAAAGTCACTGGGCCAAGGAGAATAATTTGAATTTGAATGAATTGATGGGTGATAGTGAGTATAAGGAACAATACAGACTTGATATGATCAACTGGAGTGAAGAGATGAGAGCCCAAGATTATGGATATTTCTGTAGGATCGCTTGTCAAGATGGTAAGGAATAGAATATATTAAATATTTTAGAATTTCTAAGGTTGATTTGATCCAAAAATTGTTGAAAATTAAAATTATTCATAATGAACTACTTATAACAGTATACTATCTATACTGGCAGACAATGAATGGTCCATTTATTAGACACTGGGCAAATAGACATCTTGGTGTCCATGTCAATAATTCATAAATTGTTTTCTGTTAACATTACAATAAGAAATTACAAACACTTATGAATGGATCTCTAGTCTGAAATAAAGAATATAATTTAATTAATAATAAAATTATTGAACTATTGGTAAAATATTTACAAATTAACATTTCAATTGCGGTAAATAGAGATACAATAGAAGAACAGTAGGTGCGCGAATCACTTTAGATTTGATAAATCTATACTAATATTATAAAGAGGATAAATTTATAAGTTTGTATGTAGGGGTCATCTTTGGAACCGCTGGTCGGAACAAAATTCTTTCACTGATAGATAGCTACAACGTTCCTGAGTGCTATAGGCTACAAAACATCACACTAAGATCAAATGGAGGAGCAGTGGGTGAAACCATGATAAAAATAATTTACAAAAACTGGGTGACAGAGAGAGACATTGAAAACTACTCATCATTGTCATGAAGTAGGGTGCCCAAAGGACTAGCAGAACTAGCAAGCTGAATAATTATGTTCTGTTCAATTGATGAAAGAATTGAACTTCTATTGGAAAAATAATACACAAGTAGATTTAATTCCCAAAAAATATACAATGTTTTCTATGAATGTGCAAAAGCTAGAATGTTTTTGATTTGAGGCATCAGTCAATTCACATAATTCAAGACTTTGACTTTTTAGTTCAAATATTTTTAATGTCCAATTCCTAAAACCAACATTTTAACATAAAAATTGTCACGTCTTGCAAAATAATACCAAATAATCTGTATTTTTTTAGTAACCAGGAATTAATTTGTTAAGGTAAGTTTTTTTACAATTTAGCAGGTTCAGATATTTTTTCTTGCATTGTGGGTATACAAACAGAGAATCACGTCAATTTCAGACCTAAAAAAGTATGAATCGCATTAAAAGTTGTGCCTTGGTTGGCCGGTAACAGTGGCCAGTTTCCCAGCCACTAGGCCAACAGGGCCCTCAATTTACATGATCTAAAAAAAAACATAAAAGTTTTGTACTTTGTCCAATTTCAGCGACAGACAAGCCAATATGGATTGTAAGTGACATCAGACGAAAAACCGACATAAAATGGTTCAAAGAAAAATATGGAGACCAAACTAGGACCATAAGAATAATAGCCGACGAAGAAACAAGGAAGAAAAGAGGTTTTATTTTTAAGTCCGGAGTAGATGACGTAGCTTCAGAGTGTGATTTGGATGACTTTGTTGAATGGGATCTTGTGTTAGATAATAGTGAGGGAAAACAGAAGTTAGAGGAACAATTGAGCAGTATATTAGGGCTGGTTTCTGGGTTATGATGTTGGGTTAAAGCTGCTCTTTAGGCAGTGGATAGGAAATATTGGGTTGGTTGCTGTCTGTAGTATGTAGGTGAGTGGTGCTGTTTGATTTCTATTATTCATATTATACATAGTATAGTATGTATTTTATATCTTGTATTTAAGAGATTTGATATATTTACAATTAGTTTAATTTATGATACAATAGTATTGACTAGTTGGTCTAGTAATTAGAATTGGGTAGTTTCCTAGGTCAAAAATAAATTAATTCGATATTTCAATACAATGAGAATTCATCAATCTATGTCAAATTTAAAATATATTTAAGCTAATTTTTAAGAAATAAGTACGCTCTTTGACGCAAAAATACTATGACGTCATAACTTAGTTTTTCATACAAATTTCATAGAAAAATATCGTTTTTGACATTTGGATAAAAGTATTGAATTTGACTGGTTGGAAACTACCGTATTCTCTAAATCAAACAGGTGGTACAAGTATTTGTGTAAGTGATAATAATTGGTGATGGTTTTAGTATGTATAGCTGAAACTTTGTTTTGTATGGTAATTTGTTGGTTGAACAAAATAATTATTTATTTATTTAGGGGTGTTGAACACTCGGGAAGTAGGTGATGTTGGAGAGCCATGCTAAGTGTGGGAGAGTAATACTGACACCCGGTTTCTGAAAGGCTTGTCAACGCTAAAATTAACTAATCTCCTTTTAAATCTCTGGTCAAGTCATCTGATTGGTTGTTGATAATTCAGTCAACCAATCAGAAGACTTGACAATAGATTAAATTGATTTTAACACTGCCTTTCGGAAACCGGGTGTAAGTATGGGAGGGCCATGTTTTAAGTAGGTGTAGCAATGCCCTGCTTCGGCATAAAGAGTCAAGTTCGACCGAAGTGATACCACGGCCTACACAGAAAATGGTGAAACACTCATAGTGTTAAAGAAAACCCCAAATCCCTAAACGACCGGGAATGCACTTGTAACTCCTCTGGCGTTTGTGCTGAGACTTGGCAGGCCCCGATTTGCTTACCATAAATAGATACTCATATTATTGAGAACACGAAAGTCATTTACTTACACCCGGTTTCTGAAAGGCTTGTCAACGCTTAAATTAACTAATCTCCTGTTAAATCTCTTGTCAAGTCACCTGATTGGTTGTTGATAATTCAGTCAACCAATCAGATGACTTGACAAGAAATTCAATTGATCTTAACATTGATCGGCCTTTCGGAAACCGGGTGTTATTGTTTTAAATTGTTGACAAACCACCAAGGTACTTGCATCACGTCAAGCAGCATTTTAGCATTTTTTGTAGTTGTTTAATACAATAAAGTGTCAAGGTATTCATTGTAGACGGGTACCACATGTGGTAGAGCCGCCTCTGGGGTTACCTTCCATTATTTATTGTAATTTATTACATGTCGCAATCTCTGAGACGCTCGAAAGAAAATGAATATAAAATGTGTGAATACTTATTGTGTTCATAATTATACTACATTTTGGCTTTAGGCAATCAAGGTCCTATGCACCTAATTTTATGTTTGTCTAATATCTTTATGTAAATTATTGTAATAATAATTTTGAAATTTGAATACATAATATTCAAATTTCGGTCTCTTGAATCATCTTTCTGTAGCATTGCGTTTTATTATTTATGTAAATGTTTCTGTTATTTATATTTTTTTAACGTTTTTGATTTAATTGTGCATTTGAGGTTGGCTGGGTAGGTGGTTTAAAGTTGCATATTTTAGTAGCATTTAAGTATATAATTAAGTGATGATTAATATAAGTATTTTTATCTTTAAACTATTTACATATTTATTCTATACATTATATTTGACAAGTCTGTAGGAAGAAATACCTTTAGGAATATGCAGTATTTCTGTACCTCTTTATACGTGTTGTATTTAATAATATAAAGTGTGCATAAATAAATATAATATTTATGCGTATCTGATATTATGATTCTTTTGTCTCTGCCAACGATCATAGTTCGTTTAGTTGCGATAGAATTAGCTCAGTAAATAAAACTATGTGGTGATTTATTAAAAAATCAATTTGGGGATAATAACCATTGATTAGTTAATGTTTGTCATTGACATATTAACACCCAATGTCTACCCAACCATAGTCACCTATATGAAGCATGTTGCAACAGCAACGTGCATGCCGTCCTGATATCTGAAACTTGGCTTAAGCCTCATGCTCTGTTTTTCATATGATTCAAATGAATACAGAGTACATATATTAAGTATAATATCATACAGAATAATATTATAGGATACATCCTTATCTGCAATCGCCGTCTACCTAGACTAGGTAGGACCATTCCACATTATGCCCTAACTGTAAATAATTATTTCTAAGGAGACATTCCTTTGTCCGAGTGGTGAAACTATCACTTTAACATTATAAGTGTAGAAGTCGATTACTTCATTGCATTCGAATCAGTTCTTGAATCCTTCGTTTCGAAATATGCTCATCACATAATCATGGGTGAATTGGGTGATTTCAACATCAAAGTCCTTGCCAAAAACGAATTCCTGTAAGTTCTGATATCTGATCGAGTCCTTATTTGCTGGTGAAGATCTGGTGAACTGGCAAGCAAGACGCAAACACTGAATTATTCTCAATAGTCCCCTCTAGCGCTGTCCTCCGGGGTGACAGCTGGGAAATGTCTTCCCAGTTACCACGGGGGTGACAAAACTGACTAGAGGGGACAAATGGGAACTCTGTTTCTCAGTCGTCACCGGGGGGTGACATGTGCTACGGTTCCATCTTCCTTCTAAAGAAAAAATATATACCAGCGTTCGGTGAATTTTTTTGCTCTGATGGACGTGTGAAGTCTGCTTGAAGACGTGTCACCGAACCTATTGTAACACATCTCTGCATAACCGTTGCCTTTTTGTATAATACATAAAGTGTTAAATAAATAATTATTTACTTATATACTGTGCTTCTGGTTTTATTTTCCTAACTATATATTCTCCTCCTACAAAGTCGGTAATGAAGCAATGATGCGGTTAATCTACACTAATCTTTATTTTGAGTATCTGCGCGCTAGATAATAATTACGAGTAAGTAGGTAGTGCTATGACAATCATTCAGTGCGGTTTGCTTATTAAAACGTTTTAATAAAGTTCGTTTTATTGTGGTTTCTTATTTTCAAAGGTAGGTAAGCTCAATCTGGTAAAATCCGTTGAAAAACATACAAATAAAAATAGAAATACAGAGATGGAGGACTTTTAACACTAACTAAAGCACTACGATTTTGTTGTCTAGACTCTAGAATAAAGGACAACTAGAGTTGTCATGAAATCTTATCGGAATAAATAGTAAATAGTTAATTATACAATAAAAAATAATTCGTTGGAAAGGAAACAGATTACCTGGTGGCAAGCAATTATTACCGCCCATGGACACTCGTAGTACCAAAGGAGTACACTACAAGTGCGTTGCCATGATCTAAAAGACTGGGTTATTAGGGATTTAAGAATAGGGGATTTGAGGATTGAGGATGGGGGAGGGGGGAGAGTTGAGCCGGCCTATTCATGCCGAAGGATAAGTCCCACAGTTGGAAACTTGCTTTAAATACCCTAAGTTATTATATATACTATTAGTAGTATTGTGTTATAAAAGCAGAGAGCCATCAACAGTACAACACAGTAACTAAAAAGAAAATATCTTTGCCTACATATTCCTGCCAGACATTTTGACAGCCAATACTAATATTCAGCAATAGATGGCGTTAGCATACACTGCGAACGAACGAAAACTGTAACTCGAGTACAAAACGTTTTGCTGTATTTTTCAGAGGAAATTCGTAGAAATTTATCATCAGGAACGCAGATTTTTCTTGAAAAGTGTAAGTAGGTATGTGCTAATGCTACTCCAGGCATCGGTATCTTCCTGCCGAGTTAAGATAACTCGTGGTTGTGGTTGAGTGGCAAAGATTCAAATGAATTGACAGCACGGTTTATGCGGTGGCTGGGCAACTGGCTGCCGTGCGACGTGTCGCGGGGTCGAGTCCCGTACGGAACAATTCTTTGTGTGATCGTCAAAATTGTTGTTCCGGGTCTGGGTGTCGTGTGTATCTGTAATTGTATGTTTGTAACCGCACCCACGACACAAGAGAAAAAATTAGTGGACAACGTTTCTTTAAAAAAAAAAATGCTTAGCTATTATCATGGGACATACTAAACTTAAGCAGCGACGTCGTTGGTGGAGCATACGGTGGCTGTGCTTGGGCTGAGCACCGCCGTGTCCTCAGAGAAGTGATCGGCGGCAGCGACTTCTCGCGCCCGGTCTTAGTCGAGGCCATGGTACGGAGCGAGAGGAACTAAGAAGCCATCTCCTCCTTCTGTGAAGCAGGTATGATTGTAAAGAGGCCCAGCCAGCAGGCAGACACTCCGACCAGAACTAGGCCCGAGCGTATGGCGCGTTGCGTTCCGCGCGCCACACAGACGGGGCCCTATAGGGCTGATGTTCAGCCGGGGTTGCGGGGTAAGCGCAATGAAGCACCGCGACCTCGGCCTAGCGCAGGAGAATGATGAACGGGGGGGGGGGGGGGGGGTTGAACCAGTAAGAGTCTGACACTCCCGCCTCACCTTTGGCGGGAGAAGTCATTTGATCATTTTCCCCTCATAAAAAATAGCAGCGACGTCGCGCTGCCGACTTACCGGAAACCAGTAAAGGTTTCTCATGCGACTAAGTCATTGTCTTCAACGTATTTATCATTGTAGTATTGAGGTAGGTTCTTACTATTAAAGTTGTACTCATGAAAATGAGCTCATTTGAGCCTTAAAAGTAGCCGAGATGCTCGTCAAACGTACCACGAGTTCGGTTCCGGACGGAACAACCCTGTGCTATTCTCAAATTGTTATTCCGGGTACCTTCTGTTCTGTGCGGGTACCCAAGACAAAATCGTAAAGGGGAAACGTATTTAAAAAGAAAAAAAAATACATTTTTATTTCCACACCAAGGAAAATAAAACTTCGGTTTTGTAGTTAGGTAACGTTAGTCATGCCTAAAGTTGGTACTTAAGTATCTATATTATCAGCCCTTTTGTAGTCTTATACTCAAATCTTTAATTATGTATGTAAAACAAGAAAAATAGGACATTAAAGTGTCACGGTCGATAAAACTTCAAATGAAAATTTAATCCACTTAGAATAGTCTTTCTAGAAAGCAGAAGGTTAGGTTACTACAGAGTTCGTTGCCCCTGACTGATGTAAAAGGGCGGCCATGACAACGATTG